GAGTGGGATGAATTAATGCACATTCACATTTAGTCTAGAACTACAGTAACATCATGTTCACACAGCGCACACAATTCCTCTGCACTTCCGATTTCTCCCAATATGGGGACAGGAGAGCTGTCAGTCAATAAATGGGAAAAAGTAACTGGCATTACTTTTTTGAAAAAGTAACTTTAAAAAGTAATGCGTTACTTTACTAGTTACTTGAAAAAAGTAATCTGATTACGTAACTCGCATTACTTGTAATGAGTTACCCCCAACACTGGTTACCACACCTCAAATATTGTTCAGATGTTGTATTCTCAACATTCATTCGTCTTAAAATGCTCTTATGTGTAGAATTAATTTCTTACGCATCTCATCCCACGAGGCTGGGGCCGTTGATAGCAGACTAATGCAGTTATTAGAGAGAGAGAGAGAGAGATTACGTGTGTGTGAATTACCTGAGTTTGTGCGTCTCTCAACAGAGTTCGGCAGCAGCGTCTCTACTAATAGAGAAACTGTAAGATTTCTTTCCGTGCATAATAAATGATAAAATGCAATTTTGTGGCAAAAACACAGAAATAATTTGTAATTTTTATCCTTTTGTTTACTATAACTATTTGCTTATTTAGTGTCGTTGTGGGTTTTGGTTCTTTTGCTGTTTTAGGCTGTAAGGATCTTTGAAATAACTTAAATCATTTGGTGAAGTGATATGAACATGTAATGCGGTCAAGACCTGCTTGGAACTACTTTAGCCGTGCGTTTCCCTGAAATTAATTGCACACCTTAGAACATTCGTCAGCCAATCAGATTCAAGCATTCAACAGCCCCATAGTATAACATGGATTATGGTATACAAGCAGCTGCGGTAATTGGATTACTTGTGAATCCTTGTGATGTTTTTATCAGCTGTTTGGACTCGAAAACTGAAACTTTTCCGAAACTGGACATTGGTTTGACTCTGCTGCAGGTTCTCCATCGCACGTCTCTCAGCAACCCTGATGGTCTGGCTGTCGATTGGGTCGGGGGTAACCTGTATTGGTGTGATAAGGGGCGGGACACTATTGAGGTGTCGAAGCTGAACGGAGCATACAGGACAATGCTGGTCAACACGGGACTGAGGGAACCCAGAGCCATAGCTGTGGACGCCCGCAATGGGTAAAGATTGAAAATACCTTAATTGCTTTCTTTCTCCATTATTGTGTTCTCATCTTCCCGTTTCTGCTAATAAGGATCATGAAGCATAAGGGTTTTCTTTGTCAGGTACCTGTACTGGTCTGACTGGGGTGATAATCCACATATCGGCCGCATTGGGATGGATGGCACCAGCAGAATTGTGATCATACAGGAAAAGTTAACCTGGCCCAACGGTCTCACTCTGGACTTCATCAATGATCGCATCTACTGGGCAGACGCCAGAGAGGACTACATTGAGTTTGCCAGCTTAGACGGATCCAACAGACATACAGGTGAAGACACAATCTCAAATATAAGCCATTCCGTGAAGGGGCCGCAGGTTATCAGAGCTGTTTTGTTTTTGTTTTTTTTGTATTCAGTATAGCAGCAGGACTGACTATAAACTCTAGTTAAGAGGACAGTATGAAGTAACTTACACTTTAACAAGTTAACCATTTTTAGCATATCTCCAGTATGAATAGTTCAAAACTAAGCAAAGCAAACTCTTCATGACTGGACAACCAGGCCAAACATCTTAGATAACGATAACTGTTATACAATCATAAAATAAAAATATATACTAAATTTTTTTAAAGAAATCTCTGATGCTTACATAGATTTTGACTTAGTTAATCAAAATACAATAGTATAGTAATATTGTGAAATATTTTTTTTACAATTTAAAATTCCAGTTCTCTATGTGAATATCTGTTAAAATGTAATTTATTCCTGTGATCAAATCTGAATTTTCAGCATCATTACTCCAGTCTTCAGTGTCACATGATCTTCAGAAATCATTCTAATATGCTGATCTGCTGCTCAAGAAACATTTCTGATTACTATCCATGTTGAAGACAGTTGTGCTGCATAATATTTTCTTTTTTTCTTTTGTGGAAATTCTGAAACTTTTTGCTAATTTTAATGCGTCATTGCTAAATAAGTATTAATCCTTACTGACCCCAAACTTTTGAACAGTAGTGCATTTAATAAATAACATATTAAATAATAATGATAAATAATTAGAAAATAACATAAAATGCATCAAATATGAATTAAAATATGAATTATTAAATTCCTACTAAGTGCTTCAGTGAATTGAGGAGAGTATTTTATGTTTGCTTGTGCAAGGTTGCTTTGTGTGTGTTATGTTTGTGTAGTTAGTAATCCCTGTGTTTGTGCTGCAGTTTTGACTCAGGACATCCCACACATATTCGCCATGACTCTGTTTGAGGAGTACATCTACTGGACAGACTGGGAGACCAAGTCCATCAACAGAGCTCATAAAACACTGGGCACCAACAAGACCTTGCTGATCAGCACCTTACACAGGCCCATGGACATCCACATCTACCACCCCTACAGACAGCCAGGGGGTCAGGACACTCTTTTACACACACTCGGAACATATTGTTCCACTGTCAAAAACCATCTTAGATGATCTTGTTTCATGCCTTGATGTTATCTTTCTTGAAATTGAAGGAGCTGTAGCTTTAACGTCATGCTCTCTTGTCTCCCATTGTAGTCACAAATCACCCGTGTCAGACAGACAATGGCGGCTGCAGTAACTTGTGTCTGCTCTCTCCGGGTGGAGGTTATAAATGTGCCTGTCCCACTAACTTCTACCTGGCCGCTGATGGGAAACAGTGCATGTCCAACTGCACCGCCAGCCAGGTGAGCACATGATACTTGAGCTTAGACTTTTAGACCCAGTCTTAAACAGAATGACATGTACTATTTCTCATTTGAAATATGTTCATCTAACATCTCTCATCAGTTTGTCTGCAAGAATGACAAGTGTATCCCGTTCTGGTGGAAGTGTGACACTGAGGACGACTGTGGCGACCGATCCGACGAGCCTGCTGACTGCCGTGAGTGATGTGGATTGTAGGAGATACATTTTCTACCTGTGGCGTAACTAACAGATGTGTAATAAAAGCACATTTGTACATATTTCTTTCAACAGCTGAGTTTAAATGCAGACCAGGTCAGTTCCAGTGTGATACTGGGATCTGTACAAACCCAGCGTACATCTGTGACGGAGACAACGACTGCCAGGATAACTCTGATGAGGCCAGCTGCGGTATGTTTCACCACACGCTATCGCTGTTTTACTTTTGCGCAAAATGTCAAAATGGATGTTGACTTTTTCTTTACTGTACTAAAGTAAATTTTTCAAATAGGTATATTTTCCTCCGAATAATTTTATTTTGGAAAATTTTTACTTCACTTTTTGCTCCCATGAATTTCATAAAAAACATATTGTTCCTTGTTATTTTGAACTGTAGAAATCGAGGCGTGATAGCATTGTTGATTCGTGAACATGCTGCTACTTTTCATTGAACCCGCTGAATCAGCTCTGATCCAATTGCAGCTCTTCTAACTATAGATAATGTTAAATGAATGCAAATCATTCCCATGCACCATCTCCTCTGCTATAGCAGTTCATACAGTATAATGATCTAATGAGATATAAAACTAGTGTATTTGCAAAACATTCTTCTTAAAATACCATATTGACCCGAATATAAGACAATATTTTTTTCTTGGAAATACATCTGAAAAAACTTTTGCTCCATGTGAAGTTTTTATATTGTTTCTACTATTTGTCACACATTTACATACATTCTGTTTTTCTTCACTTTTAAATACTATATTATATATTTTGTGAAGCAAATGAGGGATGTGCACTGGTGCGCTCGTGAAATTCCAACAGCCGGGAATTTCAATTAGGATTAGCAAATCTCCCGCTCCCTACCAAAAGAACAGACGAACTACTACTCCTCACCTGCACAAACAGGGACTTTTTAAACTCTGTTGTGGTTTGCTTCATGGAAACCTGGTTGAACAGAGCCATCCCGGACAGCGAGCTTCATCTAACGGGCTTCCAGCTGTTCAGAGCGGATCGCGTCACCGAGTTGTCAAAGAAGAAGATGTGCTGCCCAAATGTGGAAGCTTTCTTTATTAACTGTAAGCCTTTGTATTTGCGGCGGGAGTTTTCCTCATTTATTCTGGTGAGTGTGTACATTCCTCCTTACGAGTGTGTGAGCACGGCGCTAGAACAGCTGGCTGATCAGATCACACACAGAGAGCAACGTTATCCGGACTCTTTCATTATCATTCTGGGTGATTTTAATAAAGCTAATCTCACCTGCGAACTGCCTAAATACAGACAGCACATCACATGTCCCACCAGGGACAGTAATATACTGGACCATTGTTACACAGTTTTAAAGGATGCATATTACTCTGTCCCCCGAGCGGCTCTGGGACTCTTATCACTGTTTGGTTCATCTTCTACCAGCCTACAAACAGAAACCTAAATCTGCTAAGCCCATGGGCGACATTAGGGGGGGGCAAATTGTTAGTCATGGAATCCCAAGCGCTAAATACCCTCAAAGTGTTTTTGCAGCGTTGAGCAATGTAACCAATCACAGACATATCTGTTGATTTATTAAACACAATGGCCAATCAGAAACGTTTTGTCAGAATTCACTCACCGCTGAAAGCGCCGCCGTTTTTAAGTGCAGTTTTGCACACTCGTGAATCATCTCATGACCTTTCACACGGTACGCGGCAGTCGCGAGTGTCTAGTTCATTCAACAATGGGAGACATGCGGAAAGCGGCAAAACGCGGGCGGTTTCACTGGCGGCACATAGACGGAGCACAAGCGGTGCTCCTGCACCCAAAATCCTGCCGCTTCCACGGGCACGGCACTTCGCAGCAAAAGATAAAAATATTTTATCTTCTTGTGAGCGGCAGCGGCAGCTGCGTCGGTTTCAACCAATTAGTGAACAGATTACTAACAACCATGACCACATCAATACGATTTTTTTGCATTTCCAGCAAAGCCCTGCGCCTGGGATCATGTTTTATTTAGTTTTTAGTAAATGCAAAGGTAATGTTGACAATTGTAACTATGGCAACATCCGCTCCGAGACTGCAATGTGACCACCGCCTCAACTGCACAAAACGCTTCCACTACAAGAGAAAGCTATATATTATTTATTTCATATATATATATATATATATAAATGAAAAAAAAAATGTCTTGCCCCCCCTGACTCAAGAGTCAAATATTGCCCATGGCTAAGCCTGTAGTAAAAACTGTAAAGAGATGGACTAATGAAGCAGAGCGGGATTTACAAGCCTGCTTCGACCTAACTGATTGGAGTGTTTTTGAGGCTACAGCCACTGATCTGGATGAGCTCACTGGCAACATGACATCCTACATCCGTTTCTGTGAGGACATGTGTGTTCCCACCAGGATCTATTTAACATTTAACAATGACAAACCTGGGTTCAGTGCAAAACTCAAACAGCTTTGCCAGGCCAAAGAAGACGCCTACAGGAGTGGGGACAAAGCTTTGTACAAACAGGCCAAATACACACTGAATAGGGAGATAAGAGTAGCTAAGAGAAGCTGCTCTAAAAAGCTGAAAAAAACAGTTCTCAAGCAATGACCCTGCATCAGTGTGGAAGGGCCTGAAAGCCATCACCAGCTACAAGACCCCGTCCTCCAGCCCTGAGGAGAATCAACTCTTAGCCGACAGTTTGAATGAGTTTTACTGCAGGTTTGAAAAGCCTGGTCTCACACCCCACACCCGCTCTGACCGTCTCACAACACAGCCATCAACACACTCCCCCTCCCTCCCCCTACTGCTTCTCAGCCTGTACTTAAGATCTGTGAAGATGATATACACAAAGACTTCAGGAAACAGGAGACAGGGAAAGCCAAAGGCCCAGATGGTGTCTCTCCAGCCTGCCTCAAAACCTATGCTGTCCAGCTGTCATCCATCTTCACACTGATCTTTCAACAGATCCCTGGAGCTGTGTGACGTCCCCTGCTGCTTCAAACGCTCCACCATCATCCCTGTACCCAATAAACCAAAAATCACGGGACTAAATGACTACAGACCTGTTGCTTTAACGTCTGTGGTCATGAAGTCATTTGAGTGACTGGTGTTGGCTTATCTGAAGGACATCACTGGACCCTTGCTGGACCCCCTGCAGTTTGCTTACCAAGCAAACAGGTCTGTGGATGATGCAGTCAACATGGGACTGCACTACATCCTGCAACATCTGGACAAACCAGGGACTTATGCAAGGATCTTGTTTGTGGACTTCAGCTCCGCTTTCAAAACCATTCAGGGCTGCGTTCTCTCCCCACTGCTCTTCTCCCTCTACACAAATGACTGCTCCTCTTGACACCAAAGTAATTTGTCTCATCCAGGACGGCGAGGAGTCGACTTACAGATTGAGCAGCTGACCTGGCTGTCTGCTGCAGTTATAACAACTTGGAGCTGAACACGCTCAAAACAGTGGAGATGATAGTACACTTCAGGAGAAACCCCCTGCACTCCCCCCACTCACCATCATGAACAGCACTGTGGCTGCAGTAGAGTCATTCAGGTTCCTGGGCACCACCATCTCTCAGGACCAGAAGTGGGATATTCACATTGACTCCATCATGACAAAGGCCCAGCAGAGGTTGTACTTCCTTCATCAACTGAAAAAGTTCAACCTGCCACAGGCGCAGATGACACAGTTTTACTCAGCTGTTATTGAGTCGGTTCTGTGCTCTTCTATAACTGTCTGGTTTTGGTCAGCCAGCAAATCAGATATAAGAAGACTGCAACAGACTGTTCGGTCAGCTGAAAGGATAGCTGATGTGCACCTGCCCAACCTTCAGGACTTGTACAACTCCAGAGTGAAGAAATGGGCAGGTAACATCATCACAGACCCCTCTCACCCCGGCCACAACCTGCTTGCACTTCTCCCTTCAGGCAGACGCTACAGATCTCTGTGCACTAGAACATCAAGCATAAAAACAGTTTTCCCCCATGCCATCTCAGCTTAAACAGCTAAATACAGAAATTACCACCTGTCTTCTGTAATTCATTTCTTAATAACTAATTATTGCCTCTCTCTCAAGTATTATGTAAATACATATACATATTTTTATTTATACAGCTGTATATACAGTAAATAATGCACAAATCTGTACATAAATCTTCTGTTCCAGATGCATATCACATTATTATCATTTATTTTTTATTTATTTTTTTTCATTAGTCTTATTTAAATATTATTTCTGTTCTCAATGTCATATATGTATGTATGTAAGTATGTTTGTATCAAGAGCTCCTAAAAAAAAAAATCCTTGTGTCTTTGTACACACTTGGCGAATAAAGCTCATTCTGATTCTGATTCTAATCTTCCTTAATTTACATAAAATTGCAAAATAAAAAATTGTTTTATCAGCCAGTACATTTTACTTTCAGTAACTTACCTTAAATTAAAAATCAAGTACTTACTCAAGTAAAATTGAAAATGAGTACTTATACTTTTATTGGAGTAACATTTTGTTATGGTATATGTACTTGTGCTCAAGTAGTTGATATTTGTACTTTGTCTACCAGTTCTTCTAATTGCATGAGACTTTCTTATGTCATTGTAAAATCTCCAGAATGATATATCCAGAATATGCACAAACGGTATTAATAATGTGCTTGTGAACTTTATGATTATTCAGATTATTGTTAATAGTAAGTACAAGTACAGTATTCATAGAACACTAGTGTCTTTTATCGTCATGTTGCTATTGCTGCTGTTTTATAAAAGCTTGACTTTGTGCCTAAGAACACTGTATCATCTGTGGTAAGACTGTACCTGAGCTGGCTCCAGTAGAGCAATAACCTTATCAATTTTAGTCCACTGATGTGTTTGTATGTGTGTTTTGCAGATATCCATGTGTGTTTGCCCAGTCAGTTTAAATGCACCAATCCCAGTCGCTGTATTCCCGGAATATTCCGCTGTAACGGCCAAGACAACTGCGGAGAAGGAGAGGATGAAAAAGACTGCCGTGAGTTTCATTATAAGACAATAAGACATAAAAATAAGACGTAAAAAGCCTTTTGTGTTTTAATAATCTCATAAAGTCATGTTGTGATTTTGATTTTAATGTGATCAATTGTAAAGCCACATGCATACATACAGTCAGTAAGATTTTATATATATATATATATATTTTTTTAAGAAATTAATACTTTTATTCAGCAAGGATGCATTAAATGGATCAAAAGTGACATAAAACTAAATTCATAATATTGCAAAATATTTATTTTCTAATGAACTGAATCAGGTATATTTGATTAGGGAGACATCCAAAGGGAACTTTAGTTTCCACGTTGGAAACTAAATGGAACAGGAACTAAACACGGAAAAACTCAACATAAAAGCAAAGACCAAAAGGAACGAAATATACTTCAAAGTAAAAGTCCTTAGAAACACAGAATACAGGTGGAATATTACAGCTAGCGCCATAAAAAAAAGAAAAGAAAGTCCAGGTCGGAGGGAAATGGTAGATCCCAGAGGGAAGGAAAGGAAGGCCAGGACATCAAAGTCAAAAGTCAAAGTCTGCTTTATTGTCAATTCTGCCACATGTACAGCACATACAGGTGCATCTCAATAACTTAGAATGTCGTGGAAAAGTTAATTTATTTCAGTAATTCAACTCAAATTGTGAAACTCGCGTATTAAATAAATTCAGTGCAAACAGACTGAAGTAGTTTAAGTCTTTGGTTCTTTTAATTGTGATGATTTTGGCTCACATTTAACAAAAACCCACCAATTCACTATCTCAACAAATTAGAATACTTCATAAGACCAATAAAAAAAAACATTTTT